AAAGATATTTGTCGTTGTATCTATTGAATGAAAACATGAGGAAACTTTATCGCAAAGTAGTTATGTGACATACTAACACAGCAGTTGTATAGCACATTGAGGCAAAAACTTGATAGATTATTGTAACAAATTATAAAAATCTAAACTGTTTTCAACATAGCAACAATACGTCGTAACAACTTCTAACAATATCTAAATGGTATGTGTATTCTTCACATCATAAAGAAAACAGTAACGATTAAGTAGCTTGAAACATTTTCATTGACTGCGCTTTTTGTGGTGTCCAGCCGTGCAATCAGTTCGGTAGGATTTCTTCAAATCACACCCCTGCAAAATCGACAAGAACTATCCTGAGATACCAAATGACGCGTTTTATTTCTCACACACGGTTCTGCATTTCCTTTTAAGCGTCATCATCACGTTTTGGTTCCCGTGCCCTGAGTGACCTTGCCGGGGATAGTTACAACTCTGACGTCGGTAAGGTCAGGAGGTCACCACCAATCAGAACGGACCGATCGAAATACGTCAATCGCGCGAAGCTGTCACGGTTTGACCGCATAGTTCACCGGGGGTTAGGTCATTACAGCAAAGATCAAATATACACGGTCATCTGATTGGTATTTAATTCTATTATGTGGTCTAGTAGAGCTTGAACGATAGTGCGTATGGATGGGCACACACAGATGGTATTTACCTTAACGGAGGGAGCTTTTAGAGCAGATAGGTCGTCTGTATCGGTCAGGCACTAGGTATGGTTTTACATAATAGAGCCAAGAAATAAGGGGTAGGTCAGTAATGATGTTGGGGTGGAATGCTGAAAAATAGGGGATAGCTCTGTAATGATATAGGGGCGGGATGCTGGAAAGGGGGGAGGGATAGCTCCTCGAGTTTGATGGGGGGGGGGTAGGTGTGCTGCACATGCAAGCCAAAAAAAAACACAAGAAGTTCTACTGCAATACCAAGGAAAGTCACTAGGATACCCAACATTGACCTTGACTTTAGTCTCCCCAACACCTACCCACATACCAGACATTGTCACAATTAATCCATAGATTCTTGAGTAGAGTTACGCTTGCCAAAGTATGCGGAAACACACACACACACACAAACACACCATAAACAATACCTCCACAACGCAAGAAAAGACTACTCTTATTTAAAAAATCTTAAGAACTACAGCTATTCCAAAAGATGCTAATTCGTAAACACACCAGATGTTAGAATCAGGGAAAGCTTTTAGTGTTGAAACATGTCATCGCCCTGGGGGCTGTTTGTAGCGCGTTCCTGTCGGAATGTGCCAAGTTCCGCATGGGTAGAGAGCTTCACATGCTTCTTCTGAAAGACTGGTTAGAAGTTACACTAATCGTTTCATCGTTAACTCGACAAACACTGGCCTAATGGTCTAATATACAGGATACGTGTGCTTTAAGGCGTCCAATGCAATTTGAGTGCGGCAAAACGAACAATATTTTGGATATGAGTAAATCAATATGATATTGACATTTACTGCCACTTCTTAGCACATTTCATCGCTGTTATACTTCAAGCGTTTGAAATAGCCCCAAATTTATCTACGTGAGGGTTCACTTTATTTTTGGGTACCAGCCATAAATAGCTAGCATCAGGCGACGAAACAAAAAACAACAACAACCGTTTTTCGTTAGCGCCATCGCATTTTTGCCTCACAGATATCAGTATGCTATGGGACAAGGTTATTACATTGAAAGAATAACCAGAAAATTGGCTTTGAAAAGCCAGTTTGCTGCTTTGAAATTGCACTGGACGTCTTTAAAACGTCGGTACAGTATTTGGTAGGTCAAGGATCCTCGAAGCAAGCTGACTGATATCACAGGTACCAGATATTTACCGTGCTTGTTATATACTCATAGGTTACTGGGACATCTTGAAAAGGTTAATCCTTGTGATTCATTCAGGATCTTTAATCTTTCCGGTTGTAAATGACATACCACAGCACGGCCCTAGAATGAACCCTGTACTGATATATTACTGGAAGAGACAAGGCCAAAATAGGACATATATAAAAGCCAGATATTTCGCTGCAGTACCAAGGAGAGTCGCTAGAAGGAAAACGGATGGCGTGCAGTTTTTGGAACTCAACAACTGCTCACACACCAACTCTTATCACAATTAATGCACAATTAAAACGGGAATTGCGTCGAACTGTTGTCCATACACATACAATGTAAGGACACGGCCCCATTAAACAATACCTTCGCTTTAAGGACCCGTTTGAATGTGTCGTAGACTGGTTCCAGCTAGTTATGGGCGGTACGCAAAAGATAAAAAATGACGCCTCACGTAGAAATGTCAGTAATGTCAAGATCAGATAGATTTCCTCATTCAGAATATCTTGCCCTGAAATATAGCATAGAATGCCTTGAAACATTAAACTTCTGCGCCTGTTTTATTTCAAGCCTGCCATACATACATCATGACATACCGCGATGTCGTAGCGGGAATTATAATCGTTTTAGGTCCATTATAAAATGACTGCAGTGTGTATGACCGGGGAACGGACGGAAGGACGTTAGATTCTGCCCTCTCACAGTAAGAGGAAAGTTCTGCCGTTTCTCAGTAAGGGAAGTTGGCAGACAGCTCACGCGTGTGTTGAGTTCCGGAGACATGTGTCTTGTAGCTTGGGGTGGTGTTGTTCTTGTAAGTGTAGCTCCGGGAAAGAGTCAGGAGCGGCCCCGCTTGCTTTTCCGTCTCTTAATCAGTCGTTGCCATTTGAAACAGTCGATTCCTAGCCTCCTGTGCAGGCCCCGCGGCGGTGG